ATGGATAGTTAGAAGACCCAAATGCCATGTTGCAACGTTTCAAATGCAGGTTTGACAGGTTTGTGAGTGTACACTTTATCCAAAACCTAGTTAGGGTTTACTCGTGTTTTCCACTGTGTGGCTGTAGCTCAGGAGGTAGAGCAGGACACCTACTGATTGGAAGGTTAGTGGTGTTATCCCTGGCTCCTCCAGTCTGCATGTCAAGAGTGTGAATGTGTATGAATGTAGTTAGGAAGCACTCAGTTTAGAGAAAGTGTGTGATTGGGTGAATGTGGCACTTTGAGTAATCCAGGAGAGTAGAAAAGTGCTATATAAGAATCAGTCCATTGAGTGTGTGAACAGAGTTTCATCATGTGACAGCACATGTTTTTATTACATGGTTTGATTAAGGTACACATTAGGCTGACATCTGGGGCCAGAGCTGAAACTGTTCTGGGCCAGCAGTGTGTCTGCAACTGGCCCGTGGCTGCACACAACTTACACATGGCCCACATACCGCCAAGAATGTAATCCACACATGGGCCAACACAGGACCAGCAGTGTGTCTGCAACTGGCCTTGTGCTGGCTCATGTGTGGGCCAGCACAAACCAGATCTGGTCCACCAAAGGGCCGTCATTCTTTGCGGTATGTTGGCCATGTGTAAGCACATTGTGTGGGCCAGATCTAGGCCATACCAATTTTGCTATGTGGGGTGCTGATATGTGAAGATCTTGGTAGTCAACTTTAGAAGGAGGAAGTCTGAGCTGCAGCCTGTCAGCATCAACTGGGAGTGTGTAGAAAGGATTTACAGTTTCAAGTTCCTGGGTGTGCACATTGACACAGACCTCCAATGGAGCTCAAACACCTCCGCAGTTTTGCTAACGCTAAATTCTTGTGAGTTTTTTTTTTCAGTGTAAAAGCTGTGAAAATGCTATTTTGTTTAGAATGTGGTTTTACCAAACTTAGATTTTTTTTTCACAACGATGTAATGAAACACTTTTGTTCCTTAAGCACTATTTCTGATGAAATGTAACATTTGTTTTGAAGTCAAATGTATATTTTGGTGGTTTACTATGTAAAACTTTGCAGTAAATTCTATGCAATGATAAACCCAGTAGATTGGATACGGTTTACTGATACAGAGTTATAAGTTAGTTGTAGTTCATCTCATGATTTACAAAAACACCAATTCATCTGTCGATTTCCCGCTCCCTTCTCCTGTCACTCGTGAACAAGACCGTGAGATACTTAAACTCCTCCACTTGGGCAGGAACTCGTCCCTAACCCAGAGGGGGCACTCCACCCTTTTTCGGCTGAGGACCATGGCCTCAGATTTGGAGGTGCTGATTCTCATTCCCACTGCTTCACTCTCGGCTGCGAACCATTCCAAGGTGAGCTGGAAGCCATCACCTGATGAGCCAACAGAACCACATAATCTGCAAAAAGCGGTGATAAAATTCTGAAACCACCCAGGTGAAAGCCTTCTGCCACTTGACTACGCCTAGAAACTATGTCCATAAAAATTATAAACAGAATCGTCAGCCCTGGCAGAGCCCATCAACCACAAGGAATGAGTCGACTTACTGCCGGCTATGCAGATCAAGATCTTGAAACGGCTGTATGACAATAATAATAATAAACTTTATTTATAAAGCCCACTGAAAAACCAAGGGTATACCAAGGTGCTTGACAAAATAAGATAGGGAAAAGGAGTATCAATTATAAAACCATGACAATCATAATACATACATAGCAAGATTAAATAAATAAGACTTTAACCGGGATTTAAACAATGACATAGAGTCAGACACCTGGATAGCAACAGGACGATTGTTCCATAAGACTGGGGCAGTTACAGCAAACACACGGTCGCCCCGAGACTTCAGCCGAGAACGAGGTTGCTCCAGAAGAAGTTGGGTAGCAGATCTAAGTGCTCTGACAGGAGTGTGTAACCTAAGAAGCTCATTGAGGTAGCTTGGCGCCAGATTATTGATAATTTTGTACGTGAAGAGTAGTATTTTAAATTGAATGCAGTACTTAACTGGCAGCCAGTGCAAGCCAGCAAGAACAGGAGTGATGTAGGAAAATTTCCTGCTACCCATCAAAAGACATGCCGCCACATTCTGGACAGTCTGCAATCTAAGGAGAAGGGAGGAGGAAAGGCCAATGTAAAGAGAGTTGCAGTAGTCCAACCTGGAAGTCACAAATGCGTGAATAAGGGGTTAAGGGCTTAGTCTTAGAAATGAGGCGCAGCTGATGAAAACTAGACCTCACTGCGGCAGATACTTGCTTGTCAAATTTAAACAAGCTATCCAGTTATATGCCCAAGTTACTGGCATAATCAGAAGGGGAGCTAGCAAAGGGCATCAGAGTAGCACACAATTGGTCGCAGGGGATTTTACTATCGAACACCACGATCTCCGTTTTCTTTTTGTTCAGGACAAGAGAATTACTCTTGAACCAATCTTTAACCTCACGCATGCATTCACGAAAATAATGAAAGGACATAGCAAGATTGTCAGTAATCTCAAAGTAAATCTGTATGTCATCAGCATACCAATGAAAGGCAATATTATACTTCTCAAAAATATATGTATAAGGATCAAATGGCCCGTAGCAATGGGAATACACCCCTAACACCCCACATTCCTGGAGCACCTCCCACAGGTCACTTGGAGGGACACAGTTGAATGCCTTCTCCAAGTCCACAAAACACATGTATTGGCTGGGCAAACTCCCATGCACCCTCAGGTATCCTTGAGATGATAAAGAGCTGGTCCAGTGCTCCCCAAAGAGAACAAAAACTGCATTGTTCCTCCTGATTCCGAAGTCCGACTAACGGACAGACTCTCCTTTCCAGCACCCTGGCACTTTCCTAGGTAGGCTGAGGAGTCTGATCCCCCTATAGTTGAAACACACCCTCCAGTCCCCTTTCTTAATGATGGGAACCATCATCCCGGTCTGCCAATCCAGAGACACTGCCCCTGATCTCCATGTAACATTGTAGAGATGCGTCAACCAGGACAGACCTACAACATCCAGAGCCTTCAGGAACTCACAGCGGACCTCATCCACCCCAGAGACTCTGCCACAAAGGAGTTGTTTTACTGTCTCAGTGACCTAGCCCCCAGAGATTGGCGGGTTTTACAATGTAGTATTGAAAATGTCAAATGTCACAGTAAAGTTGTCCTGTGTTAAAGCCCGCATCACTTCTCCCACAGCAGCAGATGGTGAACCACATGATTTTATAGCAGCCATTTCTGGAATCTGTTCATCCAGACCTGAACAACAGGACACACCGCTGGCTAACTTTAATCTGAAGGTCTTTGTGGATGATTTGGTATCATGCATCCCAGACACTAGTGAAAATAAAGTAGGATATGTAGTGATCACAGAACATAAGCAAACAAATGGGGTGATACATGATTTTGAAACATTATGGAAACAATAGTTTTTAACTGATCATGGAAATCCATCACGCATCACAAAATTGTGACTCCATTGCTGGATGCCTTATATTAGGACCATCTGTCACAAGGAGGGATGGTACAACAAATACAGCTTAAACAAGAAAAAGGATTCCAGATTTACGCTAAAACATTTGGCAATTTTTCTATGATTTGTGTAACTAACAATTCACGTACAGGTATTACAACACTACAGGTAGAACATCTATGTCTAGATAAGCCTTTTAATCGTGTAAAAAAGACTCCAATGATTTCACACCATATGAAGGTAAAAATATTGCTAGGTGATTGTTGACATGTTTTTAAAATGTTCTCTAGTAAAATAAATTACTGATCACAGCCTGTACACGAAGAAATCTACTGGAGCACTCAGTAGAAATGATTATGTTATGATTCCTTTCCCCATACTGGTCCATTACAACCAAATTTAAAGTTCATCCACCTGTTGAATCCACTTTAACCTCTTCTATACCCATTTCTTCTTTAGAGGCAAAGTCACCCGCTACACAGCAAAATCTTAAATTAACACTGGAGAGTGTCTATATGGGTCCACACCTCTGAGTGTTAAATACAACACTGTTGAGTGTTAAATTAACACTTTTGACAGTGTTATATGTTTAAAAGTAACCTAGTCAGTTTTGAAGATCAACAATGGCTAACACTGAGCAGTGCTGGTTTTCTAACACTGGAATATTTCTAACATTTTGAGTTATTTTCCAGTGTTAGAAAATCAGCACTGCTCAGTGTTAGCCATTGTTAATCTTCAAAACTGACTAGGTTACTTTTAAACATATAACACTGTCAAAAGTGTTAATTTAACACTCAACAGTGTTGTATTTAACACTCAGAGGTGTGGACCCATATAGACACTCTCCAGTGTTAATTTAACACTGGGGATTTTGCTGTGTACAATGGAGGCAACAGAAAATAGAGGTACTTTTTTTTAACTTTTGTTTTCCTTTTCTTTTCTTTCTCTGCTCATGTTCTACTTGCCTGATTCAAGCAGGGAATATTATAATGTAATTTATAATATACATTGATATAGCATATGGTTCAGTTAGCTTTATATAAAAATATATACTTTCTTACATTTCAGAGCTGGTACTTTTTCACTTTTACTTGAGTAAGGAAGTTGAATTAGCACTTTTACTGGAGTATTTTCTAACAGTAGCATGTGTACTTCCACTTAAGTACTCAATGTCTGTATTTTTACCACTTCTCTCTGTGACCTCCTTCATAGTCCACCAGAAGCTCTTAGCCTGCTGTGGAAAAATGGGTGATCACCTGAGGCCTTCATTACTGTGTGAACTTTACCCACACACCACTCTTCACTGCTCCCACCTGCTGGACAGTCGCACAGTATAAACCTGCTGATTCATGTAAAGGGAGAGGCAGTAAAACCAGAAAAACAGCTTCAGGAAGAGGCGGAGCAACACCTGAAAGACGAGAAGTTCAAGGTCGTTTTCCAGAAGTGAAAGTGTGTGAGAGCAGTAGCAGACCTGCAGTCATGACCTGTTAGTCTCTAAAAGAAGACTCACTGGAGTCCATCAGGTTTCTCTCAGCAACAGTGTTGAGTGCATTTTCTGTTTCTACACAAATCTTCAGTTTACTCTGCTCACTTCATGCTAACTCATCACAGTCGCATTGGTTCCATAGAAATCTGCTCATGTAGCCACAGATCCACTGTAGAAACATTGAGCTGCTGTGTGAAACAGTCTCACTGTGGTCACTTGGTGAGTATCACTTCCTGTTCCTGTCACAGTACTGGGTCTTGGGACCCAGGGCTTGTGTTTTCTGCTTTTTGAATATTCTTTGATTTCGTTTGATTCGTGTCATAGTCTTTGTATTTCTTGTTTCTTAGTTATTTTCTGTAGTTTCTAGGATTTAGGTTTGTTTCTATGCCTTCCCTGTCATATTCCATGTTTCAAGTCTAGTCACCCTTGTCTCTATGTTCATGTATCTCCTGTGTCCAGACTATGTTCCCTTGTCTCCCTAGTCAGTCATGTCTCCTGGTCTCAATGTTAAGTCCAAGTCTTAGTCTGTCTCATGTTTCCTGTTTTACTTTGATAGTCCCTTGTCTAGTGTTTAGTGCGTTCAGTTTTGCTTCCTCCCTGTCCCGTGTATGTAGACCAAGGTTTTTATGACGTATTTATGACTATATTTTGTTTTTGTTTTCTCTCTTGTGAAGCACTTTGTGACATCTGTCTGTGAAAAGTGCTATATAAATAAACTTTTACTTACTTTACTTATGTGATTGCTTTCAGCTGTGTTCCTCTCCTGTGTCTCATTCCCTCGTTATCCCTCTGTGTATTTGAGCCCTGTGTTTTCCTCTGCCATTTGTCACTTTGTCCCAGTAGCTGTGTGTTTTCCTGTGTGCTTCTTGGCTGCCTAGTGTATTCCTAGTTGGTTAATTAAAAACGTATAGATAACTTCTAATTTCATAGTGTAATCTTCACGAGCTTCATACGAAGCATGTTGATTCATCTACTAGTTATATTCACAGTATTCACTCACTGCGGCTTTAGGGATTCGCTAACTTAGCTTAGCTCATAGCAGCAGCTAGCAGCATGACCTCTTCCTTTAGAAATAATGATACTTGTAATACATGTAGCCTATTTGCAGCTCTGGAGGCCAAGATCACTAAAATGGAGACTCGTCTTTGGACCCTTGAAAAACCTGGAGCTAGCTGGGGCCCTGTAGCCAGTGCAGCAGAAGGTAGCATAGACTGCTAGTTGTCCCACGGCAGACTGTCCAGAGCAGCCTGAGAAACAGGATAGCTGGGTGACAGTGAGGAGGAAGCATAGTCTTAAACTGAAGCCCCTGGTACACCACCAACCTGTTTATGTGTCTAACCATCTTTCCCCAGTCTGTGACACTGCCGACAATCAAACTCTGGTTATTGGGGATTCTGTTCAGAGACATATGGAGCTAGTGACAACAGTAACCATAGTCAATTGCCTGCTATTGACAGAGTCTTACACAAATCTCTGCAGCTTCTCTCCTCCCATTGCCTCCCAAAACCCCATCCCCTTAGTGACTGTGTCAGCTCCCAAACAGACAAAAAACTAACTAAAAAACAGCAAAAAATGACATAAACATAAAAAATAACAATGAAAGAACAATACAGTATCCTCAACAGCATCAAAGAGTAAAACAGTGAAATGTGGATTACTAAATATTAGGTCTCTCTATTCCAAGTCTCTGTTAGTATATGAATTAATAATTGATCAACAAATCACTTTACTCTGCCTTACAGAAACCTGGTTGCAGCACGATGATTATGTTACGTACATGACAGAACAACGCGACCACGACATGGACACAGCAGACTCTGAAAGAGCGAGAGATGTCTTTCGCCTCCTACGGCTGTGGCAGCGCATTTCCCACACCTCGGATAAACGGACTTTATCTATTGGAATTAATGCCATTGAGGCAATTTTTCTGGATAACCCTCACCTGCGCCAGCTACCCATAGCTTCAGAGTTTGCCCATAATCTGGCCCAAGCAAAAGAGGCACTCCAAGGCACGGAGCTGGCCCAACCACCCTCAACCACGTCCCAGCAAAAGGATGTCTCCACACTGTCGCAGCAGATGAATTCTTCCATGTCACTGCAGCAGGGGGCGGTTGTTCCCTTGCCGCGGAATCTCTTCCCCTCCACATCCCGATCTGACCCGCATTCGCCTGCCTCCTTCCCGGCTGCAATGTGGTCAGAGGATAAAGAGCAGGTCACCAGTACCCCATCATCACCGACCTCCTCTGTTATCTCTGCTCCTTCTTCCAGGAGAAAGCGGCGTCCACGCCACCGGCGCACATCACCATGGCTGGAACCCAGTACTTCCTTTGAGCAACCAGTCGTGGTGAGTAAAAAAGACCATTTTTGTGCTCCATCCGAGCTGGGAAAGAAAAAGTCTATTCATTCTGAGGCCATCTATTCCAGTTCCATGGACTTTAAAGACTGTTTGCCTTGTGCTCCTTCCAAGCACGGATTAACAATAACTGCTCTACCTTGTTCTGTTACGGACATTGAGACAAAACTTAAGGACTCCAAGCTCTCAGTTTGTGAATCCAGACTGACCCCCAACAAAATTAAACTGTGTGTTTCCCAGGCCTCTGAAGCTACGTTTTGTGTTCCTCAGCTGACTCATTCTAAGACTTTGAATGATGTTGTTTCTGTTTGTGCAACTCGATCTGTTCATTTGGAGACGGATACACTTTCTGAAAGGACTGTTATTATGGACAATACGCAAACTGTCTTCTCCGTTCCTGAGTCTGGTAGGGATAATTGTTTTGTTGCTGAGTTTACCTTGGATTATGGGAGTTCTGTTTCAGTCCTGGATTGTGTTATGTCCCACCCAGCTAGTAATTCCAGGGCAGACTCTGAGTTTTGTGCGATAACTTCAAATACTCTAGCATCTGTGTGTGCCAAGACTGTTTTTGACAATGCTAAACATTTCCGCTCGGAGACTAAAACTCTTCCCCAGGCCTACCCAGCGGCTGGGCCTGTGACCTCAGCTGCCTCTGGACCACCTGAGGTTTTGGAACCAATGCAGCCTGTTCACCCATCATCTGTCTCCGCTGGGAGCTCAGGAGAGTCATCCCAGCCACCTGTCTCTGCTGGGAACTCAGCTGAGCCATCTCAGCCATATGCAGCAGCCTCTGCTGGGTGCTTAGCTGAGCCATTTCAGTCTCCTGTCTTAGTTGGAACCTCAGACGAGCTTATCGAGCCAGCTACAGACTCCATTTTGCTGTCTGTGCCTGAAAAGTGTCCTAAGCACACTCTGTGCACTGCACAGCCCCAGCCGCTGCATCCTGAGCTGGCTGTGTGCCCTGAGCAGCTCCAGCTAGCTTTGTCACTACCAGAGGTCTCCGCATCATCTGGTTCTGCTCCACCAGAGGTTTCCACACCGGCTGGCTCTGCTCCAGTTTCCGCTGGAGGCTCAGGAGAGCCCATCCAGCAGTTCCTTGTGTCAACTGGGGGCTCAGGAGTGTCCCTCCAGCCTTGACCTGTCTCCACCGGGGGCTCTTTAGAGTCCCCCAGTCTTTGCCTGTCTCCGCTGGGGGTTCAGGAGAGTCCGTCCAGGCTTTGTCTTTCCCTGTTGGGGGCTCAGAAGAGTCTGTCCAGGTGACTGCTGCTTCCACACAGCCACCAGCTCAACCACCAGCTCGGCCACCTGCATCCTTCATGCCATCGTCTGGCCCAAACACATCTCCACCATAGGTCATCACGCTGTCTGGTCCAGCTCCATCTCCACCAGAGGTCGTTGGGCCGTCTGATCCAGCAATGTCTCCACCAGAGGTCGCCGCACCGTCTGGTCCTGCCTCATTTGGTCCTGCTCAGCCTGAGCAATCTGGATCTGCTTGACCTGGTCCTGTTCAGCCCAAGCCAGAGGTTAGCGAGCCATCTCGACCTGCACGTCCTGCTCAGTCCACATCCTACACATCCACGTCCTGCATGGCCAGTACATCCACATCCTGCATCATCTGCACATTCTGCATGTGCCAAAGCAACCCAGCACCAATCATCTACCAAGGCATGCCATCACCAGCTACCTTCCAGGCCACCAGGGCAGCCTCCTAAACTCATTCATTGCCACTGCTTCCCACACTGACGGCCTCCAGAACTGTCTCGTTGTCACAACGTGTCCCACGTGGTCTGCTTCCAGAAATGTTTCAGTGCTCCTGACTTCCACACAGTCGGCCCACTGCACTGCCGCTTTTCATGCGGACGGCCTCCAAAACTGATTCAGTGCTGCCGCTCTCCATGCAGACAGCCTCCAGAACAATTTTGGCGTTGCCACCTTCCACACAGTCGAACCCCTGTACTTCTGGTTCTTTCTTTTGGACTCTGTTTTCTTTTGTTCTGGAGTAAAACTGGTCTGCTTAGAAGAGAGAGAATCCATCCCACTTTGTATGGAACAGCTCTCATTTCCAGAAATCTGGCCAAATTTAATAAACCCCCCAAAACGTGACTATCCAGAGTTGGAACCAGGAAGCAAAGTTGCAGTCTAACACATTTCTCTGCAGCTTCCTCCTCCTGTTATACCCCCAAAACCCCATCCCCTTAGTGAAGGTGTCAGCTCCTAAACAGACAAAAAAACTAACTAAAAAAAAAACAAAAAAAATGACATAAACATAAAAAATTGCAAAGAAAGAACAATACAGTATCATCATCTGAACCAAAGAGTAAAACAGTGAAATGTGGATTACTAAATATTAGGTCTCTCTCTTCCAAGTCTCTGTTAATACATGAATTAATAATTGATCAACAAATCGATTTACTCTGCCTTACAGAAACCTGGTTGCAGCAGGATGATTATGTTAAGTACATGACAGAATGACGCAACCTTGACATGGACACAGCGGAGTTTAAATTAATTAACACACCAGAGTCATACTACCTATTAGAATCCTTGAAGCACAGGCCAAGGGGGTGGTGAGGCAGCAATTTTCCACACCACCTTTTTACTCAACTAAAGACCAAGACAGAGTTTTTATTCATTTGAAAGCCTGATGCTTAGCCTTGTCCAAGCTAGCTGGACAACTCAAAAACCAGCCATATTTGTGATAATTCTATTGTCCACCTGGGCCTTACACAGACTTTGTCTGATTTCTCAGACCTTTTATCTGATTTAGTGCTCAGATCAGATAAAACAATTATTGTGGGTGATTTTAACATCCATATAGATGCTAAAAATGACAGCCTCAACATGGCATTTAATCTGTTATTAACAGTGTTGGGTAAGTTATTTTAAAATAGTAACTTATTTACATTACTAGTTACTGCTATCAAAAGTAACTCAGTTACTTCAATTTACTCGTTACTTTCAAAGTAACTAGTTACTAGGGAAAGTAACTTTGGTTTTACTCAGAATTCTCTTGTTAATGTGTTAACCCGCCAGGAGATGTCCTTACTGAGATCATCAGAGCTGAACAGGTGATGGAGAAACAGGTTTACCTTTTAGGTGACATGAATGAGTTGAAGGGAAGTTATGAACTGTTTCTGAGAGACAAATAACCAGGATCCTTTTTTAGGTAGCTGACAGCTGGTAACTGTGCAGGGGCGGGTCTAGCAAAGTTTGCCAGGGGGAGTAGGGCATTAACAGGGAAAGGGGGGCACAAAGAAATACTTTTCTTTCTTATTCTCATTTAAAATGTCTGCTTTTAAAAAATAATTATCTGAATCTTACAACAAACGATTGATAGATTGATGCATATATACCATCAAACAGTGTACATCACTGTCACAACAGTCGTTTTTTTCATTCAAAGGCTTTATGATTTTTCCTATAATGGTGGGCCGGTCTCTAGTCAAAATGCCCGGGCCAATTTTCTGTCCCAGTCCAGCCTCTGTATGCAGCTCATCTGCAGTCTGGTGTTGCCTACATCTTCCTATTCAGAAGGCAGAATTTCCGAGTTCTGAGTACAATCGAAAGCACCACGACTGCAGTTTTTGTGTTGGATTGTAGCGAGGAGGTGAGCCGCTGTGGTAGGCAGGAAATGAAGGATCCAAGTGCAGGCAGTCGTGAGGGTGTGAAGGTGGTTTAGTTATAACACCTGATCCAGACACACGAACAGGTCAATACGCTGTCCAATCAGTTCTGTTTTAGTTTAGGAAGGAACTAAACTATACTGGGAAACAACTAAAACTACAAGACACAAACCTGAATGAGAACGAGCGGAAACACTAGGCGGATGACAGCAGGGAAACACACGGATGACGCAGGGTGGAATACACAGACGGACCAGCAACTACAATGACGGAAGACATGACTTAAATACACCGAGAATCACAGGGGAAGTACACACAGGTGGTGGACGCAGCTGGGAGTGATCAACAAGACGAGACAAAGGTAAAACTGAACACACTCACATGAGACGCAGACCTTCACAATAAAACAGGAACAAGAAACCATCACACAAAGGCGCAGACTCGACATAGAGAGACAGACAGAAAATGACACATGGAACTGGACAAATACTAAGCCGACACAACTGAAGACGAATCCTAAACATAAACAGAAACATGAAACTCAAATAATAAACATCATAATCATCATCATAAACATTACCATAACACGACAAGAGAACAAGAACACAATCCCTGATGCAAACTTAAATCAAAACACAATAAACTCAAAATACTGGGTCCAATGGACCCAGAACCGTGACATGGATGTAAAAACCGCACATGATGCTGTGACGTAGGCTAGAATCATGGCAGCGTGTCAAGACAGTCCAGGCGTGGGATTTCTCTCGTGGAAATATGCACATTATCTTTTCCTTTCTATTGGTAGGTGGCACAGTGCACTTGTGGCAAGTAAGCAAGCTAGAAGACTGGCAAAGTTATGGAAGC